ATGTCTGGTCTGGTTTCTAGTTCAGATATCTCAGTACCAGTGACATGCGGTCAGGGGAGGCAGGTCATCATGGAAAAATAATAATAAAACCATTTATATTGCTATTTTCACCCTGTGGTTTGTACTATAAAGTATCTATTTTTTACTTAGCTTAACCAATTCTGATGATTTTTTCTTAAAAATCGCTGGATTTTCGCATTTTCCCATTAAAATGCTCAGAAGCGAAGCCGGTGAGGCAGCAGCGAGCTGAGCCTCACCTGGGATTGCGCAACCTCTCACTAACTGCACTGGCTGCCGTTCTATGACATCATGTTCTTCCTGTCTGTACGCCGGTAATAAAATGGCTAAAAAACATTTAATATTTGGACTGATTTTCCATAATTTAGCTTATGTATATAATGTACAGTGTTTTTTTTTTGTTTTTTTTGTCACCAGCTGTGTGTATCGTGTTTTGTGTGCGGAGGAGCGATCAGAAACGGCAGAAAACAGACTCCAGGGGAGGCAGGCAGTTCTCTTGCCTCATGGCAGGGGGCGCTCATTATCCCAGACATTGTGACTGCACAACTGCAGAGTAAGACACAGTGAGCTAGCCATGGAGCTAGCCATACACAGTAAATAAGTAAAGTACAGCGATATATTTGTTTTCTCCTCTATTCCGACGTCAACATGAAAGACTACATTTCTACACTTAAACAGTTTTCTAAAGTGGATTTTCATTTGAAGCAGGAGATAATAACTAAAGGAAGACCAACACCAGAGCTGAAAGTTTTGCTTCGAAAGTTTGACGATTCTCAAACGGAGTAGAAAAGACATGCCGATGATAGAACTGGCTTTGAATGAACGGATATTTTTGTGCAGAATTAGCGGTGCATGGATTTCATTGATACATAAAGGTAAGACAGCAATAAGATGTTTTTTTTTATGAAATATGCGTTTTGTGGGCAGTTTGTATGTCTAAATAATTCAGTAAAGTAGAAGCGGCAGCTAATCTACCACAGCAATTATTTATTAATTAAACATTAAGCCTAAAACGTACTACAACAACAGACTGAATGTTCTGTTCTGTGTGCAAAATTTTTGAATGTTTTATGGTGTTAAATCCTAAAACATGAAGTGGCATTGTTGTCAGTTGCTATGGCAACGAATCTGCGTAGCTTAACGAATACAGATAACTTTGCTGTGGATCATAGCACGAAATCAATATCTACATTTCTAAGTTTCACTGAGTTAACGCAGCTATGGATGACATGTAAATGATTAGTCTTTTTGCCCTCCAGCGTTGTATGCTTGCGCGAAATTTCCGTACAATAATATGCATGGTGTCTAAGTCATAAGTCAGTGCCTCACCAGCAGTGAACCTCACCGCACGTCACTGCTAGGTACACTTGGAATACGACAGAACCAACTTACAAGTAGTTTATCAGCAACATATAAGAGCCTGTTTTAAGTCAATAATTAATTAATACTGATTGAAAAGTACTAGTTCTGCTGGCAGATTATTTCAGTTATAACAAGACATTTTCCGTGTTCGTCTGCCAGCGGAACTAGAACTTGGTTGCTAGGTAACGGCCTGGGTTTGGCTTGCGTTGCTAGGCAACGGTGCAGTGCCAGTTGATTGCAAAATAAGTGGACCTAGTACTTTCTCACCAATATTAATGAATTATTTACTTAAAACAAGCTGCTATAAGTTGCTGGAAAATTACATGAGAGTTTTTAAAAGCTACTGTTTTTAAAAGCTTTAAATTCTTATATAACATTTCTTTGCTTTTTGTGTAAAATTGATCTTTTAAAACATTTGTATTGGCAAATCTGCTCTGATTTTCCCTCCTTTCTCGGCCCCAGCTGCGTGTTTCTCAGACTCTCTCTCCGAATCGAAACATGCTTCACCTCCCGTCCCTCCTCATCATTTATCATGTCACCCCTTAATGACGCCACCTGTGTCAACAGCAAGGGGTCCTCAGCTGTGTGTGTGTGCGTGCGTGCGTGTGTGTGTGTGTGTGTGTGCGTGTGCGTGTGCGTGTGCGTGCGTCTCGCTTCGTGTCACATCTGGACCCGCCAACATGAGAAACGCTCCTCTTCCTCCTCCAACACGGTAACTTTCACACGCGCAGCCTCTGCCTCGGAGCGATGCTTCGCCCTCAAACGCGCCTCGTGTCGACGCCGTTTCCCCAACATCGCTCTCCGTCGTGACATCGCTCACGCTGAGGTGCGAGCCGCCGGCCGATGACGGATGAGAGGCGACGCAGGCTTCTAGGAAAAAAAAAAAGAAAGATGGCAGCTGCCTCTGTTTGCATGATGTTATTTCATGATGTGAGTTTATGATCAAAACAGCTAATTTGTATAAACACAGGATTGTTAGCAGTTGAATACTGAATGCTGAAAGTAAAAGTCCAGAGACTCCAGAGAAAATTTATTGAAATTTTCAGTAAAAAAAATAAAAAGACGAATAATTTGTGTCCTACTTTACAATTTCCTCCATAAGTAATTTGTGAATGACAGTGGGGGGCCACATAAAATCAGTCCACGGGCCACAAATGGCCCACGGGCCGCACTTTGAACACCCCTAGTCTAGGATCTATTGAATCATATAATCCTGCAGCATCTCTGCAATATGACCTGATCTGACTCTTCATGTTGACTTTCTGATTCACGAGTTTTTCTAAATATAAGATAAATTTAGTTTCTCGAACTGTTTGGTGGAGAATTTAGCAGATAAAAATCAGTTTCTCTGCAGGAGCTGATTTATTTTTACCTGTTTTTAAACATGTAACAGAACAAAGAGTCTCTGTTCTGCACCTTTCGGGTTTCTTTTCTTTGATTCTCAGTTTATTCCTTTCAAAGTTCAGAGTTTTTGAAAATTTTAACAGATCAAGCTAAAGATACTTTCCAGACATCTGAGGGCAGATGAGTGATCCTTCTTCTCTGGGTGAAATCAAAAGCAGACCTTTCTTACTTTGATTATCCTCCATGTCTTACATGTTTTACATGTTTCTGTTTGTCTTTTCTATCATCTAGTGACTTAAATTTGTAGCTTTAATGAATTTTAAATGTCTTCGTGACTCTTTGTGTATCACAGAACAAACAGGAGCTATTTTAGTGGCCAGCCAAGCTAAAAACAGCCATGAAACGACTCTGAACCATTTCTTTTTCTTCAGAGAGTTGAATAAAAGCGTGAATGGACACGCGGTGATAAAACACAGCTGCCCGTCTGCAGATTTACTGAAAGTCATTTGGGCGAGCCGCAGATCTGTTGGGAAAACTGTTAAATATCCAGACCTGGCCAACAGGAAGGAGGTTGTTAGTTTGGAGGAATAAAACCACGACTTTCAAGCAAAAACTTGTGTTTTAAAACAGAATCAGATAGAAAAAAGGCGTTCTTCAACAAAATCTGAATCTTTAGTGTTATTTTTTTAAAGAATAAATGTGATATATATTGAGATTTGGCTTTTCCGTGGAGAGAAATGAACAATATTCACTGAAAACGGTTAAAAATTTACAAGATTTAGAAAACCAAAGTTTACATGTTGCTGATATTTACAGGTATTTAACCAATCATTTCTCTCAGTAGATAACAAAACAATTTTGAATGTTTTTCTGTCTTATTTCTAATATTTCTGTTAACAAATAAAGCATTTATTGATTTTTTTAATAGATTAATAAAATTTCCATGCGCATTCTTATAAATGTATTTATTTCATATATTTATTTTACATTTAGTCATATTTAAATTACTTAAAGCACCACACCTATGTATATATTTTTAAATAAGGTTTATATTGCTTATGGTTATGTTTGTATTTACTAATATTTAACACTTTGGATGCTTGTCTGCAAATAAGTAATTTCAATAAAGTATTTTCCATTCTGTTTAATAATTAAATAATTAAATTCTGGTTATAAGATTCTGTGTTTTTGCAGAATAATGTAATAAAACCAAAAAGAAACGCAGAATACTGGATTCCTGACAGAAATCTGATGCTAAGAATATAATCTAATTGTTTGTCCTGGTAGAAAACAACATGTGAAACGGATTTTGTGAGTAAATAATTACATGGATTTCTGTGTCTGTGTGTTTGTCTGTTTTCGAGTTTTTGTCTCATTGCTTCATGTTGACTCTTTCAAATTGCCTGAAACCGCCAGTAAATACGAGCCGAACTCGGCACAAGCTAATGTCTAATTAAATCTAAGAAAATCTGTTTTACTGCAGCAACAAAATGTTTCACAGAAAATAAAAACAATTATAAATAAACAAAAGAAGCCTCTGATACATGTGTTTATGTATTTAGGTTTGGGGAAAAAATCTGAAATAGAGCAGCTTTTTAAGTAAATAAAATTAAGATCAGAGTCTAGTTGAGATATCACCATTTTCATTTCTGTTGAACATCTTCAAAATGGGAAAGACAAGGAAACAACTCCTAATTTAGATGTTATAATCGAGGCACATACTTTCACATAAAAATAAAATTAAGAATAACATTCTGCTCAGCAGGGCCAAAATTTCTACAGAAAATGTGTGAAGTTGGCAAAAATATTGAACTCCAGTTCAAAGAAATGTGCAAAATATGCATTTTCTTAATGCAAGAAGTGAAAACAAAAACTGTGGAAATGGCAGAAATGTCCCTTACCAGCAGAAATGTTATTTCAAATGAGTAAAAACTGAAAACACAAGCAATTTGCTGAGAGCAATGATGATTATATTTTATTTAAGAGTTTTAGCAGCTGCTGGGAGGAAGAATCTATGATTACGCTCTTTTGTGCACCTGGGATGTACTGATGTACTCTGATTGGTTGTTTCTAGTGAGTTTCCAGCTAGTTTCCCAGATTAACTTTTCATATTTTATTCAACAAACATGTAAAAATATATATATATTTTGTAAAAGTTGCATACTGCAGTTTTCATGAAAGTTTTCAAATTGTGAATTGGAAACACGAATCCACTGAACTGGTTTTACTTCTGAATGCTTCAGCTTTGGTTCTGACTCCAGGTCTGTCGCCTTCAGGTCCAGAATGCTCCAGGAACTTCACGGCTCCCAGCGGCGTCATCGAGACGCCGGGTTTTCCCGAGAAATACCCCAACAACCTGGAGTGCACCTTCATGATATTTGCCCCCAAGATGGCGGAGATCACGGTGGAGTTCTACAGCTTCAACATGGAGCCCGACACCACGCCGCCGGCCGGCGCCGTCTGCCGCTACGACTGGCTGGAGGTTTGGGACGGCTTCCCCGCCGGTGAGGAACCAGAACCACACGCTTAATGAGAATCAGAGAGTTTAAACTACAAACATACATTAGATGACATTATTCATTTTGAACTGCAAGATTATTGATCTAATTCTCTTTTCCAAAATTTTATTTTTGAAAAGTGAATTTTCGAAAATCGAAAATTCGCTTTTCATGTTTTATGTTCAAATGTTGAATAAGAAACATGAAAAGACTAGTTCACCTTTGATGTGAATTTAATGCAAAGATCTCAAAATTTAATGGCGATAATGTAAAAATTAAACTAGTTCCCCAATAAATTTAACTGCAAATTTTTACGATTTGAAGAGAGAACATTTATTTTTTAATGAGTTCACTTTGAATATGAATTTTGAGCAATGTTTTCAATAAATATTGAGTTTGTAGTTTATTTGCAGTCCTCTGCATGACTTTGTTAAATAAAGACAATTGGACATATTTGGCACTAATGGCAAAAGGTTTGGGCAGCCCTGTTCAAGGCAAATGGACTGAAGTTTAATTAAATGGGCCTAAATAGGAGCTGCTACTCAGTGGAGCTGATACAATGAGTAATAAACAGAATCATCCAGCAGGTAATGATCGTTCTGTTTGAGTCCAAACCAATTCTTCTTTCCACAAATGGCATCTGGATGCACTGACAGCGGAGGGGAGACTCCCACGCAGTTCGCTCATTGTTCCTTCACCAACCGCGTTTGGAAAACCGGCACATGAATGACGGAGACGCAACCTGTTCACACTCCCTCTCCTCCAGCTTGGACGGCTCGTCTCTGCCTCCATTGTTGCCTAATTAGCCGTACGGCGCGCCGATAATCGCCAGAGCTGTAAACCTGGGCCGGGCGCCTGGCCCGCGGTGCCCAGAGAGCCTTTTCTCCCCGATAACTGGCTCGGGAACCTGAGGGACTGGCTCAGGTACACAGAAACTGACACGCACTTTAAAGCGGCGCCAGCCTGCCAGGACTCTTCCTGTCAAACGGTCCGTGTTGGTGCGTGTGTCGGCACGCGCTCAGGTGCATCTGTGCTCAAGAGCGTTTGTGGGTTTGATTGAGCCAAACATGTTTGTCAGGGAAGATAAGGGAGCGTCTCTGCAGGAGGGTTCACTCCGACATGCATTGATCTCATTTCCTTTCAACTTGCTCCCTTTAATTAAAATTCAGTCAACTTAATCAGACTTACAGACATCTGCAGCTTCCCAGGTTTTCTTTAGATCAGTCAAGTTTATTTCTGTGGCACATTTCAGCACTGAGGCAGTTCAAAGAGCTTTACATCATGAAAACATAAAACATCATTACAATTTGTGAAATTCACATTAAATAAGGCTTAATGCTCCATTTATTATGAATCAAAAGCAACTCTAAAAACATGGATCTAGCCTTGATTTAAAGGATGTGTCAAACTCGAGGCCCCTGGGCCTAATCCGGCCCGCCGTAGATTTTTATGTGGCCCTTTAGACTCCAAATTACATCAGTTAGTCCCTCCAGTTTTTCACAAATCTGCAAATCCACACAAAATCAACAAATCTAAATGCAACAAATTGTCACCTAGTAACCCCAGCTAAGCTAAGCCCCGTTACCTAGCAACCTCGGCCATGCCCAGCCCCGTTACCTAGCAACCTCAGCCATGCCCAGCCGGGTTACCTAGCAACCCAAGTGAAATTTCAGAGTTTGGTTGGCTAGTTTTACGCTCTGATCTGTACAATGGCTGACAGCTGTTCTGTCGTTGGCTTTCCATTCAGAAATATAATAATATAAAACAGATATCTACACAGATACAGTTTATTTGAACTGTAGTTCATCATCAGGTTTTTACGCTCCCTTACTATTACAAAAAACGCTCAGATTTAGTTTCTTCTTCTATCCAGTTTTCGTGAGGCTCCACGTTGCCCGTAGGATTTTTTTTTTTTCTCCTCCTTATTTTAGGTGTGATTTCATCAGCCGACGGCTTTGGAGTAAAAACCATTTCACACGTCCTGCGATAAGGATGAAATGGCTCCAAACGTAATCCGTCACAGATCGCCGACTACCTGCTTCAGACTGTAACTGATAAACGTAATCCATCAGATTACTGCAGCTCAGCATTCCTGTGCGAGTGCTTCATGTCTCTCTTTTTCTTAGCTTTTTACCTCTAAGCTGAATTAAAAGAATATATTTTTGTATCATGTAAGAGGAGATACTGTATCTCCACCAGGCAGCACCACAAGCTTCATTTTTGCGAGTTGGAGATAAGAAAAAAGCTAAAATGTGTGACCAGCTGGGGACTCTAAATGTCATTAGATATGAAACGGCATGTCTCTCTGTGCCTTTAATGAAAGAAGAAGAAATTTCTTTTAGATATTTATTTTCCCGACGGGTTAATTCCCTGAATAACAAATGCTCACATCAGTTCTCTGTGTTTATCTCGGTTTAAAATGATCCGCCTGGTGCACAGCAGAATTACTTTCACCAATTTACTTTGGTATTCATAAGAAGGACTGAATGCATTTGTTACTTCATGAAAAAGGTATTGATTTTTCACTTGGTACGCTTCCAGATAATTAATGACACTTAATTACCAGCTCACCATTTGTCAAAGAATTGCAATATGGAGAGAAATGTAAAAAAAAATGGCTGCAGTTCATTTAACAAGACAGTTCCAGAGTAGAAACATAAAGTTGATCATTTATAACAAAATTAATGCTACTTTGCAATCTTAAAATTGCTTTTTCTTTAATTAGTTTCAAAAGCTATATTTAATTTGAAGAAACATAAGAAATTATGAGGTAATCAAAGAGTGAAAATAGAGCAAAGACCAAAGTAAAGCTGAAATAAATTAATCAGAAAGACAATTTCTACATCAACAGTAGGAAATGTTCAACGGGGAGGTTAGTACGGTGGGCCAGAAGAGTCAACAAATGCAAAATAAAAAGACCACAATGCAACAGCAAAAACGTCACAAAGCCAAAATGGATCAACGAAATCCACAACTCAACAAAAAAACCACAACGCAACAGCAAAATCCACGACAAGAAGTCACAATACAACAACGAAATCCATAACAAAACAACAAAAATACACAAGGGAACAACAGTGATGGTACAAAAACAACAAAACAGACAAAGCAACAGTAAGAAACCACAAGGAAAAGTTTTGTTTAAACAGAATTCATGCTAAACTGGCCAGCGTTTGTTTTGTTGACCCTTCTGGGCGACCATATGTGAACAGGAATATTTAAAAATAGGTTTAAATGTTGACTGAAGCCATCATGCTAACCAAGATATTAGGGTTATAACTCTGACCTTATTATCTGCATTTTAATCTACAGACTTATCAATGACCTTACCATCATTTATATATGTAAAGAAATCTTATTGTTGATATTAGGGAGCAAAACAATACAGTTTCTGTTTTGAAACCTATTTCTATTTAATCTGTGACCAATCTTCCCCCCTTATGAATGGATCTAATGTCGGTGCCGTGTTTGCAGCCTTATGAAAATGTACGATGGCGTGAATAAGATGGAAACTGCTGATGAAGCTGACTGTCTCGTTCTTCCTCTTCCTCAGTGGGTCCTCACATCGGCAGGTACTGCGGCCACAAGTCGCCGGGTCGGATCATCTCCCACACGGGCATCCTGTCCATGACCATCACCACCGACAGCGCCATCGCCAAGGAGGGCTTCACGGCCAACTACACCATCCGAGAGAGGGAGCCTCCCGCTGGACACCAGGACGACGGTGAGACGCTAGCGCTTCCTACGGACGTTGTTAAAGATTGCTTCTTAAATACAACAGTAATCCTGGACTTTAGAAAGGGCTTTTATCTTAAAGATGTAAACAAAACTCTTAAATTTAGATATAAAAATTTGGGCTAATATCACTAAATATTATTGTTATAGATCGATTTATCTAGCTAGCTATCTGGCTATTTGTTTAGCTAGGTAATTAGCTTGGTATCTAGCAATCTTCCTGTCCATTTGTCTGTCTAGCCAGCTACCTAGCTAATTAGCTAACTATCTGTATGACTAGCTATTTTAGCTATTTATGTCACTGTCACCTATCTAGCTAGTTAGCAATATAGCTACCTGTCCTGCTAGCTAATTAGCTATCTATCTAGCATGTTGTCTGTCTATTTGTCTATCTAGCTATCTGTATGTCTGGCTAACTGACTATTTGTATAATCTATCTAGAAATAAACGGTCGTTAATATGAGCCCGGTCTTATTTATCGGACATAACCGATGTTTATCGCAGTATGTCGTGCATTACAAAATAATAATAATTATTAATAATTAATAATTTTAATAATCAAATAACTAATATTTAAACATAAATATGAAACTAAAGAACAGGTTACACTTGAACATTGTTCAAACATCACTGAATATTTTTTAACAATCTCTAAAATCTAAATTTCTGTGTGTCATATGAACTTTTTAGTTCTCATTATAGTAATATTTGGCGCAGGTCAGAGTCAATTTGTTCTTGGTAAATAAACACTTTGAGCCAGTGGAGCCTGCATGGTTGCATTAAGGATGTGTGATTTGTTTTGACTCACTGCTTTAACACCTCTGTTCCTGCAAGCTGACACATTTCGCAGCGCTGACTGAGCACGCAGTGAGATGTTACCTAGTATTTAAATCATTAATAAGTCATGCAACTCATTAATGGAATAAAAACAAAAGATATTTCTTCTGTTTAAAGTATTATAACATTTATATCTCAATAAAAACGTCACTGAATGTATTTTATATGATGACTGCAAGTCAGTTTCTGTTAATTACTAATAAAAGGGATTAGATTCCAGCAGATTAGATTCAGTTTATTGTTTCAAGAATTATTTATGGCCCTGAATCAGCTTTAGTTAGATAGATTGATATAAACTAGATTTACTGATCAGAAAATGTGTAAATAAATAAGTATTAAATATGTATTTAACAAGGATAAAACAAAGTAGTTTTACGGAAACAAAGCACAGCTGGATTAAATGGTGGTGAAACACGAATGAACTGGTGAGAAATCAGGATAAACTGGTCAGAATTTCAACCAACTGAGCTGAAAACTTTACCTGACCAGAGAGAATAACAGTGAAAAAACAAAAGATAATAAAATAAAAATCACGAAAACCAACAAAAACATCTTCAGTCTTCAGACAACAGAAAGAACATATGAAGCAACTTTTAGATTTATCTCTAGCCACAGTTTGTAAACGTATCAGTTGTTAGATCTAAATTTAATCGCCTCTTATTCTTTTAGATTATTATTTCGATTCAGAGTTTCTTCCTGGAGCAGATAGCTCGTATTTTTATCGCTTTGACCCATTTCCAGCTCTTATCTTCTGCTGCTGAGCAATCTGTTTGGCCGATTTCACACCAGACTTTTATCAGGAGTCTCTGATTCTGTTAAAGTTGCTTCCTGGGGATTTTATTCTTCCTGGTCCCTGACAGAAGAAGCCGGTTTTCTGCATAGCTGGGATTCCTGTAGAGGTATAAATGCGTTTTTCACCCTTTGGTTGTCGCTGACCCGGTTCAGGAATGCTGGGTCCCACGGTGTTCGACGTTTCTGGGGAAACATTCACGTCAAACAAAACTGATTTTCCTGGAGGACTTTGAAGCGACTGCAGGATTTATTTCTTTGTTCTGGGATGTCGGCGTCCCGGCTGGAGAGGGAAGGGACGGATAAATATCAATTTACCAAAACAACAAGTTTGGTGAGACAAACTTCTGCCCACGTTTTGTTTGTGAAATGCAGGAATTGATGCAAAGTGTTTGTGTCAGGCTTGCAGACCTTGTGTCTCCCACTCAGAAACACTCACACTTCCTTTTGCGTCCTCCTCCCTTTTCCTTCCCAAGGCTCTCCTGCTGTGATAAAAAAAACACTCAGATGCTGCGTCTCATTCAAAGATTCGCTTAAATCTTTGAACGAGGTGCTTTCTCTTAAGCTTAGCGTTAGGTTAGCCAAAAAGAAGTCACAAACATGCAGAAACTCATCAAAATCGCCACATTAAAGTATTAAAACCATTACATCTGAAACGATTAATCATGATTAATCGACTATTGAAATAATCATCAAATAATTTAGTAACTGATTAACTGGCAGCAACAGGTAATTTCCCGAAACAACATTAATCATGATTAATCAATTTTTAAGTAATTGTTAACTAATGTAGTATTTGATTAATCGTTAACTGCCATTTGTAGAAAAAACAAATAATTGATTAATCGTGATTAATCAATATAATAATATCATTTTGTCATTGGTTAATTGCTAATACAGTCTCATAAAAGGTAATTTGCTGAAATAACAAATAATAGATTATTTATAACACTCGATGAAGAATGATTAATCAATTTTTGAATAATTGTCAATAATTTAGTAATGATTAATCATTAACTACCCTATATAGACTCAGAAAAGGCCATTTGCTGAATAACAATTATTATTGATTAGCTCTGAAACAATTAATCGGATTAATTGTGATTAATCGACTATTAAAATAACTGCCTACTAACTTAGTAATCAATTAATTGCTACTTGCCATACACAGACTCAAAAAAGGCCTTTTCCTGAAATACCAACATGCTCAGAGCAGTAAGTAGCACAAATCGTTCCCTAAAGGAATGCTGTTGTTACATCATAGGCAAGAAAAACTTTATTCTCTTGTTAAAAATGAATTGAATTATTTGTTTACTTGCTTCTCCCTCTGTGTTTCTCAGATTTTGCCTGCATGGAGCCGCTGGGCATGGAGTCCGGGGAAATCCCCTCAGACCTGATCAGGGCGTCCTCCCAGTATAACTCCAACTGGTCCCCTGAACGCTCCCGGCTCAACTACCAGGAGAACGGCTGGACGCCGTCAGACGACACCATCAAGGAATGGATTCAGGTCAGACGTCTCAAATAGAGCTGCAGCTAACCACTAATTTGATTATTCTATTCTGACGATTAATCAATTAATCAAATAAAAAAAGACAATTGGTACATTTTGTCATTAAACCACTTAAACCTTTCTATACAATGTTAGAAATGTATTAAAAGGTGAAAATACACAATTGAATTAATGTTTTAAATAAGAAAATACACATTTTATTGCCAAAAATACAGAAACAACAGCATTGAATTAGTGAATCGTTGGTTATTTGTAGCTAAAGATGCATTTGCAGCTAAAACATTCAAGAGAAAACTCAGCCTTTCTGCTTGATTCAACATCAATGCAGTGTATGAATAATCTGATTATTATTTATTGGATATCAACTCAGTTTGCTTTATTTTTTCAGAATTTGAAGCAAATGAAGCTAAAACTGTTACTTCAGGAGTTCGGGGTTGAATATACCCACAAAGAAGGTTTTTTGTCATATCTTAAATGCAAAATTTATATATTTTTGAGACTTTATACTCCAGTTATCGATTAATCAATCACTAAATTAGTTGACAATTATTTTAATAATAGATTAATCGTGATTAATTTATAATTGAATTAATCTATAATTTAAATCCAGACCACTATAAAATCTTTCCATCACCATCTCCAGTAACTCTTTTATTAACCTGACATTTAATTTCCCTGTGGAATCAATAAAGTATATTTGAATTTGAATTAATCCGATTAATCGTTTCAGTCGTAGCTTCAAAATGCAGTTTTTAAGTTGGAACTATAAAGATAAAAACATGTTAGTAAATAAATAAGCTTTGCATGCGTTGAACACACTGTTTGTGCCCTTTTTTAGCACATGATGTTTTTTTTCTAAGGGAAGCAGTTGGAGGTTATGTCACTTTAATCCTCACTTCCAGAGTCTGAGCTCAAAATAAAAGCCTCTGATTTCCCAGCGGAAAAACATTGCTCCTCTGTTTGCCTTTCACTGCGCCACCGAGAACTCACTCACATCTGCTCTGAATATTGCTCACTCATTTGAACCACTTCTACACACGTTATAGTGATGGTAGACGGGGAAAAAAGCCAACATGAATTAATTATTTACATCTGCTTCTGCTGCACAGTTTCCTGCCGTCATGCTGAAATCTGATGTAGCGGCCTGCAGCCACTAAATGTAGACTTTAAACATTTATAAAACATTCGTGTACAGCTTAAAGTGGCAACATTTACTCATCTGAACACTGATGAAGGCTAAGAAACTGAATCTGACAACTTTACGTTTTTTAAAAAAGATGATTTTAGAGGTGGTTTGGTTAAAAAGTTGCAGCAGGAAATTCATATTTTTTATAGTTTAGATGTTTAAACCAAAACAAATCATAAGCAATATTAGAAATGTAAATAAATACAGTAATTAAACTTTAATTCTAAAGTATCTGCAGTGCTAGTTTGAGCTCTTCTGTCCACTTAGATTAGTTATTCTCATGGCTGCATCTCCATTTAACTCTCCATCCATCCATTCATTATGTTTATGTGGCGACTGGCCGCCTGTCCGCACCGGGTACACCCTGTACGGCTCTCCAGGCTACCACAGGGCTAACACCCACACACTCAGGCCTCAGGCGAATTCAGAGACTAATTAATCTAACATGCATATATTTGGGACGTGGGAGGAAGTCGGAGTACCTGGGGAGAACCAGAGAAAACATGCAGACTCCGTCCGATTCAGCTGCACGACGAAAACACTACAAAAAAATCAACTCCAATTAATTACAAATTGTTTTAAGGAAATGAAAAGGTGAAAGTTAAAATATTTATAGATTTACATACAGAAAATCTGTTAGATAAGAGAATAAAAATCTAATGGTGTATATTTGGGTATTGGAATTGATTTATCGTTGTTCATAGTGATGCTAAACTGAAGGCTACTACTGTTTATTCATCCAAACTCATCTACATAGATCATAATGCTGGAGCCAGTGGGAAATGCAGAGAGGAATGAATGTTTGTTGAAACACAGAATGAAATAAGAAAAGTATTATGCTTGTCTAGCTAGCAGTTAGCCTGTTATGTATGATAAAATATAGCTTAATAGTTATATCTTTCTTTTTTTTTTTTTTTATTTATGACTTGTTCAGATCACCATTCTTGCCCTGCCTTGAAATGTCAACAGATTGAGCTCCAACTATAATATCCAATTTGTGAATTATTCCGTTAAACCAAATGTTTTCTTCACTGTTAGCAGTAATTAGCTGTGTGTAAACACAGGCTAGCAGCTACACAGGCTAACAGCTCTTTCTTGTCATAATGGAGGATAAATGAAACAGCAAAAATTATTAAGAGATTTGATGTTCAACAAAGTCAGTTTTGGTCTTATGTTCAACTCTGTAGGTAGCAGCTAGCCCTTGTTTAGCCATGCTACAAAGTAGGTTGGAAGCTAAAGATGCTAACTGCTTGCATGTTCAAACATGGCTTGATTTTGATGGGTATTCTTGTTCAAGTCAGTGAAAATTAAAATGTCTGTTAATTATGGACATCAACATAATCTTATGTTAACTCAAGACTTTTGAGATAACTTAAACTTTTGTTTTATTTATATATTTTATTTAATTTCGTCTCTAGTTTAGCTTTTTAAATTCCTCTTGTTTAAGTTCATGCTTCAGTATTTCTGTGCCAGCACATTGTGCTTTTAAGCTAAACAAGGTGAGTTAAGCATGGCGTAAATACAGATTTTTCTGTTTTTAAAAAGAAAATGAAGCTCAAACTACAGGAAGCAGAAACAATTAATTCAGATTCAGTCCCCTGATTCACAGCTGCTCAAATCGTTGGATATTTACATGAACTCCGTTACCCATAATTAAATTTACAAGCCCAAACAAGCGTGTTTGCTTCTCCTCTGGGTCAAGAAAACAACTGGATTCAGTCTGAATTATCAAACCGGTATGGACATGTGTGGCTGGCGTCCAGCGCCGACCCATTGTCCAGGACAGGAACTCATAGAGGAAATCCCACAATGCCCTGTGCTGCAGGAGCAGACCTCCACTTCCCTCCTGTGAGAGTTACAACAGGAACTAGACAGGAACGCCGCCACAGCGCCAGATTAGTGACTGTGGCTTTCTATTGTCTGTCTGGGGACGTGTTTCACCGCCGGGGCCTCTGGGACATCAGGAAATGAAGGACGGAGATTTAATTGGGGTTAATGGGTTCACGCGCTGGGTGGAAACTGCTGGTTTTACACGAAGGTCACCAACGGCATTAAAAATGTGGCCATTTTGAATAAAATTATTTTGAAGTGTTGAAATAATGAGGACACGACTAATGAGATGGTAAAGTTGACAAAGAAACTTGGATCAATAACTGGGCCGCTCTGCAAAGGCAATTAATGTTTCAGCAGAAATGTTGGATGTGTGGACGTTCATTAGACCCTCCGGTAGTCTCCTGTTCCCGTTTCTAATCTATGCTTTATTTAAATAGTTGTGTTAAACTCCGGTGTGCATTCACAGTGGGCGATGACAAAGTCTCGGTTCGGGTTAAAGAAAAGGTTAATTATGGACTCGGTCAGTTCTTCAAGTATGAGAAAAGAGCCGCGAGGAAATATTGACTGCATATGTAGCTCATATGATGTTTTAATTATATCTAAATGGAAATACAACCTGACTTTAACTATGTTTACATTTATTTTCACTTTGATTTCTAAAGAGGATTGTTTTTAACATGCTGTTCCATCTCCCCAAACTCAACTTCACTCATATGGAAAACATCCTCTTATTGAATCTGCATCAGGATAAATTAAACTTACAACCAACCACTTTCTTCTGGCTGTTTAAAGTTTTTATTTGGCAATAGAAAATAACTTGAAAATTGTACATTTTATACTGATCTGATGCAAATTTAGCTGAAAAAAGACACTGAAAATCAGTTTTGATAAACCCAGTGGATTGACTCCAGCCTTCTTTGATTTGGATTCACACTGATCCTGTTTGGTTCGCTTTAGAAGTCCAGTTCATTTGACTGGAAAGTTCAGTTCATTTGTTGACGTTTGAATCTGTGATCATACTCTGATGAGAACCAAAGAAGCGAACTTGAATGCATATGTGAACGCCAAGCGGATCGGATGCCGCTCCAAAAATAGGAAGTGCAGGGCATTCTGGGTAAATGCAACCAAAACAAACATGCTAATCTAGCGCTAGCAGGAGAAATGACTTGTGGATTTTTACTAAAGGCAACCGCTAAGATCTGACGCCGTTCCATTTCTGTTTATATTTTGTAAAGAAGGAAGTTGCGCTCAGTGTCTTCAGAGGTTTTCCTGTTGTTTCCTTCAGTGGTTCTTGGTGCAGCGCCCCCACAGGCGAGGAGGGGAACTGGTTTTTCAGTTAACTTAGTTCTTTTGACTCAGTGCAAAGAGAACCGCGGCAGCTGAAAATGTAACAAATGTTGCAGTTTTGGTCTCGAATCGAACCAAGTTTACCGGACTGGCAGGTGTTGCTGCTGGCGGAAACGACAATGAAGAAGATGACAGGAAATGGTCTTCTTCGTGGTTAGTTTTTTTTTTTTTTTCAGACAGTTAGCCTCTCACAGCATCACAGTTCATTAAAAGTTGAGTCTTTAGCTACGACTAGTTTCTCCAAATGCGTACATATCTGCTCCCAGGTGTAATTAAATCACCAACGTCTCCTCTGATTGGCTGAATTACGAATATACCTCATGTTTACGTCACATGAACAAACTTATTCAGGTGTGATTTTAATTTAAGTTCTTATTTAATGGAAACAGCAATTTCAACATTAGCAGAATGTCAACAAAAATTTGTGCACATTTGCAGCTTCTGCCGTATTTCTGAGACAGAACTGAAATAAAACAAGTTTAATGTTTATCTTCTGACTGTATCCAAAGTTCAAGGGACAAGGTGAGACTTTTTCTACCCTTCAGCTTCAGATTCAGTTCGTCTGGCCACAAGATCTACAAACCTATTGTTATAAGAGTGAAATAATGTCCTGATTGCTGCATGAAATCAG